GACGAGTGTTTATGGGGGAACGTTAGAGCACAGCATTGTTGGTGGTGGCCATTCTGCTTTTCTGTTTCCTGTGAAGGCTACAATAGTGATTCTACTGCTCATCTGCCCTGGGCAAATTCTTTCCTGGAGATACTGTTCTTCCTACTTGATATGTAACTGATACTTGTATACTTACTAGGGGTAGCCGAAACCGAAAATTACTTTTTTTTTTTCCAATCTTTAAAAAACAAATCATTATTTTGAAACTATTTTGTTATTTTTATTTCTTTTAACTTTACCGTTGGGGGGTCTGGGGGAATATTAGGGGTCTAAACAGATCCCTGATATTTACTTTTTAAAATAGAAAAAGAGATTGAGGGCACAGAGACATGTTAATATATTAGTCTAAGCCCAAGTCTAGGTTATAAATATGTATATGTATGTATATGTATTATATACTGTATATGTATTATAGTTCCAGATTTATTTGATCCCAATATTGTGGCAATAGACTGAAGCAGCTTACTTGTTACTCCCTGCAATCTCCCATGACTATGCATATACTATTGCATGGTATGTGATGTAAGTAATTGTTTAATATATAAAAAAAACTTGATGTCTGAGCATTTTGTGAACATTGTTCTGTGGTGTATGGGCCAATTTGCATCCCTCAATTTGTCGAAGGAACTGGTCTGAAATTCTTAGCCACAGAAGGTGGCTAAGGTGGCAGTGGGTGAAAAATGCCAAAAACAACTGTTCTTAATATATTTTTCCCAGTTTGGATGTAGTGTTGTAATAATACATTATAGACACTAATGGAGTTTCCACGTTTGAAGTTAGTTTAGTGTTGTAATAATACATTGTGGTCACTAGATGGAGTTTCCCAGTTCTAAAGTAGTGTATTGTAGTAATAATACATTATGGAACTGGGAAACTCCAGCTACTGGCCATAATGTATTATTCAACACTACATTTGAACTGGGAAAAATATGTCAAAAAACATTGGTTTTTGGCATTCGCACAAGCGAATGTTCACAGATATTCAGTTAAGGGATTTTCCCCCTGCAAATTGTTTATAAATAGGTCCCTAAGTAATCATAGGAGAAAGGCTGTAACAACACACCATAACATCAGTGGTTTTATTTAAGATGGCTACACCCAAAACATGAGGTTGCCATTAAGCTGTATAATGGGGGTTTTTTTTTATGTATTTCAACGGCAATGGTGAGACATTCCCTCCAGAATTTTCTGCTACACCCAGTTGACACAACAATTAACAAAGTCCATAGTTTAGAATAACCCAATATTTTGGGAATCCAGCTTCAAGAGTGGCACCTCTGTTATGCCCATTGTGAGAGGGGTGACAAGTTTAATCTATGGTGTATATTTTAAATTATTTAACTAGACTTATTGTACAGTACCTGGTATAAAAGTAGGAGGATGTGATTGGTTAATTTCACTATATCCTCTGCAGACAGCATTGGCTTAGGAGTTAGAGGGTTGACATCTTGCTGGTTTTTGAAAACGTCACCTTCATCTGAAATAAATGCTTGGACATAGTTGAACGGCTCAGGATAATTCAGAGTTATTTTGTTGGAAACATAGTCAAAGATTTGTATGCTAAACTTATAGCCCCTTAAACTATATAGTTAATGTTCAGTTTCAATGTTCTGCCAAGAGTTTTATAATGGATGCACAAAAGGGTTGCCACTTCATCTCTTTAAAACTGATGAATTGCATAGGTTCTGTGGCTGAATAGGGTAGTTTTTAGATTCCTTCAGTGTTTTACCTTAACTGAATTAGCCAGAGAACCTGTGTAACTCATATATGTTCTGTTTTAAGGGGATAAGGTTTTACCTTTGTACCTTACAGTAATATTAAAAGCTGGGTGTTTTTCACCTTAATGCATTCTGTGCATCAAGGCAAAAAACTCACACACACACACACACCTGCTCGTCTCCTCCGCCGTGACTGGAAGACACTCTGGTTTTCCCAAACTTTCTGGTTGTGGGGGAGGTTACTGAGGGCAGAGGAGCCCTAGGCTCCGTCTGCCATCAGTCAAGCTGTGACTTCAGGGTGGGGGCGTGGCTGGTCGCACGCTGTGTGTGTCTTCATGGAAGGACACAGCTAGGTGCGGCACGGCCATGGCCGTGCATGTACGGTGCCACCACAGCAGTCGGGTAACTACCCGTATGGGGGGGAGCCTACCAGCCTGGATGCCACTTGACAACGAGGACATTAAAAACACTAAACAATAAAGAAACATTTTTATAGTAAGTCTGCCCACCATTAATAAAAAGATGAGAATGGTTTAAGGTTTATTGTAGCCTTATGTCCAAGTATTTCTGGGGTTTTCTGTAAAATTGAATACTCATTATATGCTGACCATATGCGATGATGGGCTAACAAATTTGGTTATTTGGTTATTGCTAGTGCTAGCTGGTCAATATAGGGTTTTAAAATATCCACGAATGATCAATAAGTAACACAAATATGCACCAGAGTCAGAGAGATGTCACCAGCACTGGCGGAACTACCAGGGTCGCAGTGGTCGCAAAAGCGACCGGGCACTGGCATTCAGCCTATGGGGGGGGCAGAGAAAAGGCCACAGCTCCCTCATGCTGCCCCCTTCCCCCTCCCCGATAGTGGCGCTTCTTCCCCACCGCTCTTCCAGCCGCAGTAGTAGAATCGGGACATGCAAGGGCAGCTGTGCGGCGGGGATAGAGAGGATCTGTCACTGATCAGGCACCTGTCCAGCAGAATGTGCTTCAGGCACCACCGCCAGGCAGCACATTCTGCTGTGTGGAAGAGGACCCTTCCGAGACGCGGAAGAAGATGCTGCTTGAGTCAGGTAACTGTGTTGTGGATGAAGGATGGACCGGGAAGGGGGGGGACCGTGAAGGGGGGCCCGGGGGGGGGAGATGCTGGTGTTATTCTGCATTGCTGTATAATGATTATAAAGCAGTGCAGTATAGAAACAATGATGCAGGACTACAAGTCTCAGCAATTCATTATATTCTTAAGTGGGGATGCACCAGTGCCAATACTGGGCATTTTCACGAGTACACGTACTTATGAAAATGCCCCGATACTAAGCGCCGATACCGGTGTTCTGTCGAGAATGCCGACCTGGTCGAATTTGCCAACCTCAGCATCTGCGCTTGCGCACAGACCAATATTATCGGCGAAACAGGCATTTATTTACAAAGTATTTTGTTCAAATCGTTAATTGTGATTGTCACTAATATGCCATCCATCATTTCCTGCCATGGATGGCATATCATTACGGTCACAATTAACAATTACAAACTAATACTTTGTCAATAAATGCCGGTTTCCTCGTTAATCCCGTCTGTACGCAAGTGCAGATATTGGGTCATCGTTCTCGACAGAGCACCGGCACTACATTTTTAAACTGAAATGGCTGCCTGAGGTCCCGTGCTTGCTGGGGACCTCGGCAGCCTTCCTGTTAACCACACGGTGCCTGTTTATAGTGCCATCCTGTTTTAAAAATACCTGTTAAGGTCTGTCTGTGCTGACTGGTATAAATTACAGGACTCTGAGGACTGCAGAACCACACCCCTTTCTATTTTTAAATATAGAATAGGGGCAGGGTTCCATAATACTATCTGGTTTCTGTTGTGCTCGTGCAGAAGGACAAGTGAGTGTTGCGATTCTAGGACAGGACGTGTGCTACTGCCAGAATCACCAGGTGAAAATAAAGGGGGGAAAAACGAATGCAGCCACCACATCTAAAGGTGCCCATACACCGCAATACACTGGTGCCCATACACTGGAAATCCTGCGATAGTACGATAATCGTGCAGTGTATGGAAGGCATGCGACCGTTTCTACTGTACGGTCGCACGTCTTCCGTCGAACAAGCAGGCTGAAAAACCCGCCGGGAATTCTACGATTCTCGGCGAGTTAGTGGTCTGCTTGTTCGACAACTGCTGAACTGGCCGGTGTGCGCACACGCACACTGCCCGTTTGCAGACATCGGAAGCCCGCCCCTCATTGCAGTCATCGCAAGTACGATCTGCCTGTCCAAGATGGGCAGATCGTACGTTTTTTTAAGTACTTTGCAACCCTCGCAAGACTGCACCAGTGCCAATACTGGGCATTTTCACGAGTACACGTACTTATGAAAATGCCCCGATACTAAGCGCCGATACCGGTGTTCTGTCGAGAATGCCGACCTGGTCGAATTTGCCAACCTCAGCATCTGCGCTTGCGCACAGACCAATATTATCGGCGAAACAGGCATTTATTTACAAAGTATTTTGTTCAAATCGTTAATTGTGATTGTCACTAATATGCCATCCATCATTTCCTGCCATGGATGGCATATCATTACGGTCACAATTAACAATTACAAACTAATACTTTGTCAATAAATGCCGGTTTCCTCGTTAATCCCGTCTGTACGCAAGTGCAGATATTGGGTCATCGTTCTCGACAGAGCACCGGCACTACATTTTTAAACTGAAATGGCTGCCTGAGGTCCCGTGCTTGCTGGGGACCTCGGCAGCCTTCCTGTTAACCACACGGTGCCTGTTTATAGTGCCATCCTGTTTTAAAAATACCTGTTAAGGTCTGTCTGTGCTGACTGGTATAAATTACAGGACTCTGAGGACTGCAGAACCACACCCCTTTCTATTTTTAAATATAGAATAGGGGCAGGGTTCCATAATACTATCTGGTTTCTGTTGTGCTCGTGCAGAAGGACAAGTGAGTGTTGCGATTCTAGGACAGGACGTGTGCTACTGCCAGAATCACCAGGTGAAAATAAAGGGGGGAAAAACGAATGCAGCCACCACATCTAAAGGTGCCCATACACCGCAATACACTGGTGCCCATACACTGGAAATCCTGCGATAGTACGATAATCGTGCAGTGTATGGAAGGCATGCGACCGTTTCTACTGTACGGTCGCACGTCTTCCGTCGAACAAGCAGGCTGAAAAACCCGCCGGGAATTCTACGATTCTCGGCGAGTTAGTGGTCTGCTTGTTCGACAACTGCTGAACTGGCCGGTGTGCGCACACGCACACTGCCCGTTTGCAGACATCGGAAGCCCGCCCCTCATTGCAGTCATCGCAAGTACGATCTGCCTGTCCAAGATGGGCAGATCGTACGTTTTTTTAAGTACTTTGCAACCCTCGCAAGACAGAAGTCTTGCGAGGGTTGTAAAGTGTATGGGCACCTTAAGGACTGGTAAGCTGCAATTTTGGTTTGAGGGATTAGATGTGTTTGTTGAAACAAAAATATCTGCTGCTGCCATTCTACCTCCCCTGGTCTGCATACCAGTTCAAGTGCCATCAATAAGAATCTCTAAATTAAACTTAATTGTAAATTCCATTAAAATGTTATACAGCCAGGAGACAGGGACTGATGATTAACACCTGAGGCTTCTCAAATGGCTATTTTGCCTTGCTCAATATCCCTTAAAATAAAACATAGCATTTTAAAGTGTTTGCATTTTCATACCTTCTCTTCCTTAAAAAGAGGAGCCGTGAGCTAACTTTAGCTACCCAATTATAGGTACACACCTGCACTCAAGGAAATAGGCAGAATTCCTGATTAGCGTTATTAAACAGGCTAACCCAAAGGCAATGTATGTCACAAGCATAGGATGAATAAGATTTCTATACGGTTTATATACTTGACCTTGCATATGACTTTCATGAGGTATAATTTATGGCATATGTGCAAACATTTATGAGCCAAATGCTTTATTTTCAGGCCCCTTTTAAGCTGCTTGACATTAAACATGTTCTTTTCTGGGAAATAGCCTGATCGCAGAAAAATCCTGCCTGTTTTAACACAAATGCACAACAGCACTTGCTAATGTTAACAATGAACATCCGGACCATTTTTAAAATACTTTTATAAATATTCAACTCTCTAAGGATCCTAGAGCAGATCAATGGACGCCAACCAAGATCATTAAGTATGACTTACCTTGCCCATTTCCTTTCCTTTCTGCCTTTGAGCTTCTTTTAGAATGCAGCTGAATGTCTTCCTGGGGAATTTCATTTAATATCTTGGCAGCATACTCAATTCCTTCTGTCAGATCCTTAAGGCAGCCCTATAAATAAAAGGAAGAATATTTTATTGCTAGAGTCAGCAAAATCATTTTGCTCACTGGGTCCCTAACTCAAACCACTATATTATGATTGGTTTATTAGGGTTACCTCATTGGCAGCTCATGCTGGAGAGTAGTGCAATATTCTGCAAATGTTCCCTACACCATATTCATGTAATCATTTATTTTATAGATAATAGTAAAAGGCACACTGACATCATTTTTGTAGCCCCTTCAAGTGCACATACAGAAATCAATGTGCTTGTTTTATTGTTTCATGAAAGGGCTAGATTTGCCTTTCGGCTCTCAAGGTGTATGTCTATAGATGACAATGGAAAAGGGTGACTTTTCTTGATGATTTTTTCTAATTAATCAGCAGACATACAGTTATCTGTATCAAATAAGCTTATTTACATACTGTCACGTTATTTTAAGCAAGGCTGTATCCAGTAAATCAAGTCAATGTCCTGTGTAAAAGCAGTGGTCTACTTGCTGGTAAGTTCTGGCATCATGACAAAACTTTATTATATTAATATACATAAAGCAATATTGCTTTATGGATCATTTGATATGGGTGCTGTTTTTTGCCATAATGTCTTTAGATAGCATGTAGTTTTATTGCGCTGCATGAGATTTTCATTGTGATAGTATTGCCACTGATAAAATGCACATGCCAGTATTTATTGCCATGATAGCATAGTATTGATGGTTGTGAATAAAGGTGATAGTAGGAACTTTGCATGAGGCACATGGTTACCATTAAAATTAAATTAAAGATAAGGATTATGTTTAAGGTTGAGATTAAATTTCAGGAAAATAGTTTAAGGTTAGGTTTAGACAATAACTTTTAGGTTAAGGTTTAGCAGTTTAAATTTAAGTTAGGTGTCAGTACATACTGTTTTTTTGAATGGAATAAATTGATTTTCGGGTGTACGTAGCATACCTTTACCTAAATTTACCAGATTACATATTGTATCTATCAGAAATCATAAAAAATTTATAAATCAGTTCATATAGAAAGTGCAGTATTTCATCTGCAATTTGATCTGCCAGATTTGCATCTGTGAGTCTTTAATTCTAACTTTTGTTTTGTATTCTTTTCCATTTTAAAATCTAAGAAAATGAATGTGCCCCATTCCCCAACCAAAACTAGCTTCTAGAATGCCATGATAATAATAACCTACAACACAAAAATGAACCTAGAAAAAAATGGTAAAAACACAAGAAACTTTACACGTTCCAAACCCAATTTTTGTTTTAAGACTTTCTGCAGGATAGTGAATGCCAATGAGCTCAATTATTATTATTATTATATTATACAGGATTTATAAAGCGCCAACAGTTTGTGCAGCGCTTTACAATATAAGGAAGACATTACAATCAGTCAATCACAATACAATTCAAGACAAGACGGTAAGGAGGGCTCAATGGATCTTTTTATGCCTGCATCTAGAGTGTAAAATCCCAGCCCCAGACAGATGCTTTGAGAAGAGGGCCACATGTTCTTAAAGTGATCATGTCAGGAGGTCAACAAAATTGCTCACCTGTAAAGAAAATAACTTTGTACAAACTGGTTTGTTGGCCCATCTGCTAAAACTTCAATTTGTTGCAGAGCATCTGGCAACAATTTGATTTGACTCTTCAGGCTAGCCACTCTGGATCCTCCTGCTAACCCCTAGTCACTGCAGGACACAGTAGTGATTTAGGGGTTGGAAAAGGAACACTAGCAGTATAAGGGACCCCCCTCTTTTAAGTATGTGTCCAATTTAGAAGAAGCTGCAAAACGTTTTTTAAAGGGCCCATTCCAACTATTGCACTGCGGTAACAAGCATTACATTGCTGTGCATTATGCATGTTAGTACAATGCAGGGCCATCAATTCTGAAAGGCACCCACAATGCACTTTGCTGATGGACATGTGTTGCAGAGCAGAGCAACACAACAAAAATACTGCATGCCTCTATTATGGTGCACCGCACTGGTATGAATGGGCCCATAATAAAGTAAAAGAAGGAAAAAACCACCCGCATTAAATAAATTAGTGGTGGACTGGTTTTATCTCTACAACGTCCAATTCTTGAAGCATTTCTACTTACAACCCTATGTAAAGTTTGATTGCTATGGACAAAGCCCACTAACAGATTTAGCAAGACAACTGCTTAACAGATTAATTTCAAAGTATCATATTTCTGCATTAAAAGTGGTCAATAAAAGCTTGTTGAGACTGGTATAATCATTGTTCGCTAACTAGTAATAAGCTCCTTACACTAACTTATTTAGTAATGAATAATAAATGGATTTCTTCTGTTTCAAACAAAATTTACTGATATATTCTGACACATTAAGAAACAAAAAGCTGTCAAAGAGAATTGAGTTGTCTTGAACATGTTTCTGCATATCTCCTGGTAATATCTTGCTCTGACTAATTAGCATTGATGCACTGTGGGAGGTAATTCCATAGACGACACAAGCTGTGAAGAGTCCCAGAACATTTGCTGCTCGGAAAACTTCAATGGTAAATGAATATTTTGCTCTAATATGCATTATGAAAAAGAGGGAGCCTATTTTGATTTTATTTTTTCTTTAACCTAAAACATATTTTAACCCATTATTTAAACTACATATTCTGAGGTCATGAACCCATATTGTCCTTAAAATGATAATGTAGCTTTGACCTATGATATGGGATTTTAAAACTTAGTTTGCAAGTTATCCTCATTATATTTCTGAGTTTACAGTAAATCTATTCTGTGACCTGGAAATTATGAAAACTTTAGAAAATGAAAGTCGCTGGGGATATATATCCTACCATGCCATGCTTAGGAAATATTTTTTTCCCTCATTATATAGATATCATTTAATACCTGAAGGGAACAGGTCTAGAAAAACATTATAAGCCCTCAAAAACTTGTGAGACAACTAGGGCCTTTGAAAACAATGAACTGAATTTAGGTCTTGTGTTTAGATTGTTACAGTATCCCATTATGCTTACCACACTAACGGGGCTAGATCAGGATTAATGATTTCTACAGCACTACTAAGGAAAGATGGGCCCAAAGCAAATCCTGGAATCCATAAGCAAAGCAAATGATTCAAGCATTATCTGAGATTATTAACTAGGGAGCGGTAACAAGCACCTAAAACATCAGAAGTGCTTGTCATTTCCTGCAGGGATTTTCTAAGGTGTTGAAAAATCTCTGTGGCTGCCCAGCAGTAGTTCCTTATAATTAGATATAACCTTTGAATAACAAAACAGATACAACTACATAGTAAAATATTCAAACAAAGAACACAAATACACTGGAAACGTAACAGTAATGTCATATATAAAAAAAGTTCTGGTGCTGTCAGGATCTCTCTGTGATTTTTCTAGTACACGTAAGAAAGAAAAAAAATAGATATTTGGGTAGTCTCAATAGCCAATGGATATTTCTCTCCTTCAACTGTTAAATCACAAATTCAATGACTTTACACTTAATTACAGATGATAAACCATATATGTAAACATTCTGTCATAATCATGCCTTTAAAGGTTCTTCTCTTTCTTCATAAAATATATAATTGTAAGAACCAACACAAAGCAGAACCACAAAACCTTTTTTCACTTCCAAGCATTAGTAGCCACTTTTAAGATTCCTACATGGGCCTAATGTGTTCTGCTCAAAAGTACAGTTAAAATTAGATCCTTCTCTGAATCTTGTAATACGGATGAAAACTCCAGACATATGATGACCATATTAATCTTGCATGGTGTTATTGGATGCTTTCAATGTGCTCCATGTCATTCAGCAACTTGTCTCAGGGACTAATTCCAGCTCTGACATATCTGGCCGTATACATGTAATTAAGCCCAAAACTATAGAAGGTAATTCCAGTGGAACTAAGACCTGTACAGGGACAAGTATCCAGGTCTTAGTGGGCATGTCAAGCATTGCAACAGTGCTTTACAAATGCAATACCTGCATTGTTTCATTCCTTTGTTCGCTTTTTCCATTATATTCTCGGCAAAACTTAATCTGAGTGGAGAGGTAAGCAACATCACTTAGTGTAGAGAGGACCCAGTGCCTAGATCGCTTTTTCCCAACATCCTCAGCTGCCATGGATACACTCTCTTCATTGTCCTGGGGTGTGCTTATTTCTAAAGATGACAAAATAACCAACACTTTTGTAATTGTACATCGGTCATTTGTATAAAACAGGAAATTAAAAAACAAAACTCAGAACTGAAAATAGAATATATTAAAGTAGTTATCTAGGTTAATTGCATGTTATATACCATTAAAATAGCATTATAACAGCAGTGCACATGATATTTTACTAAAGATCCCATCGTCTTTCATTACACAATTGATACATCTCATTAACTGTATCAAGAAGGACACTTAAAAAGCTACATCAATAGCTTGCTGTTGAAGAGTCTACATTTTGTACAGAATTGGCCTTTAAGGAATAATTAATGGAAAGCAAACTGCTAGAATAACAGTCCCTGAAGCCATTTTGTTAATGCTTTCTACCATTAACTTCTATCATTATTTATAATAATAAAAACAATAAGGATGACTCCATTGAGGGAGAAAACCTTTGTTGGGCTACTCATATGTTTTTGTTTCAACCCCATTATCTGGTTTGAAAAGGATTGGTAATAATGAATAAAAGAAAAATCTTAAAGCAAACCTGTTAGCGGGTTGAGTAAAAAACTATGCTCTCAGAAGATATCACCTACCTATATATTTGCCCTTCCATGGGGCCCTTCTGAAGTTAATCTGCAAACAATGCCTGTTTGCGGTTGCTACGTCACTACAGTACACAGTAGAGATGTAGCGACCGGTGACTAGAACCACAGCTTGCAGCGGGAGACAAGTGACATCTGACACACCCAGAAGTGTTGAATGCCATAGGCAGCCATAGCTCTACAAAAGGCGAAGACTTGAATCACCATCTGCTGGATGGGTTTGTATTCTTCTTCTTTTGCAGGCTGACTCCACTTTACAATTTTGCTGGTAACAACAGGCTTGCAATAATTAAAATAAAGATATTTTATATTTAGCAGAACTACTTATAATAAATAGAGAAAATATACAAAAACACTATTGATTCCCTTTAGGAAGCAGGCATTGGTGTGAATCTGGTGAAGGTGTATGAAAACAGTAAATATTACATACTTCTCTCATCTGCAGCAGTTTCCCCCACAGAGAAAGTTTTGTTTATGAGCACCCGCCGAGCCCCAGCACTGTGTATCTCTTTTCTCCTTGTTATAACGGTGCTGGAGTGCTCCATGGCTGCCCACAGGTGATGCTGAAGAGATGCTTTTATGCTGTTTACAAGCTGTGGCAGCCAATTCTCCACAGGGCCACTACATTCAAGAGGCTGCAATAACAGAGAAAACAAGTTACCAGCTAGGAACTGGTCAGGATGGAGCTTTTCTAAACATCTCAGCAAGTTGCTTGTGATGATACTGATATATCCTTTGATGACAATAATATTATTTTTATACAAGCAAAGCTTTTAATAAAATATTAGCATCGTAGAGAAAGAGGGAAGATGGTGAATTTAACATTAGATAGACTACATTAAACTACACACTATAGACCACACAAACACCAGTCAGTCAAAAACCTCTTATATGCTCACAAATGTTTTATATTTATACAATGAATTTTTTCGCATTATCAGGTTCTCATTGCTCATAACTTTTACTGCAAACATTTAAACGTTTCATAATCAAAATGACAAGCTTTAAACATTTCCATTATACACTAGAACCTACCAAAGGCTGAATAAACAATTTGTAAGTTTCATTTTATTTGACAGTAAATGCGACATTGTCATTTTAGGATGGAATAGGGTGTAAGTGAATTTTAATGGTGTTATATTGCATTTTACTCAACTGCATGAGAGATAAATCATAACTTCCATATTATTATTACAACTTCTTGATGGGAATACTTAAAGTGGAACTCCAGGTAAATTCCCTTTAAAAAGCATTCAAGTACCTTAACTAGTAACAAAAATGTATCTTATTTATCACTCAGCTGTAGATCCTCAAATTATCTCTGAATTGGTGCCGACACTGTCCTTCCTGCTGGAGGGTGGCTACTTTTGTTCCCCATGGTCCCTGTGAGATTGTAGTCCATCACAGGAGTGAGCTTGGAGCGGTGGCTACTTTACAACACACACACAGGGACTATGGGGAACAAAAGTACCCACGCTCCAAAAGGAAGGACAGTGTCAGCATGAATTTAGAGATGACTTGAGGATCTACAGCTGAGTGATGCACAAATAAGATACATTTGTGTTAACAGTTAAAGTGTTATTAAACCTTCAGGTGTTTTTGCATATATCTATGGCTAGCAAGCAGTAGATATATGCAATAACTTTTTTTTTATTTTTAAACCCTTTGAAACTTATTAAACGTATCTGTGTCTTCGCCATGTGCTCCAGTTCGAAAATCTGAAAAATCTCGGGCGGCCGCAAAGGATCTTGGGGCATGCGCAGTTCAGATTTTCGGTCGGGAGACAAGGAGAGACACAAGGTAAGTCTATGGACGCGTGCACCGGCATGCAGACACCTGAGACAGGAAGTGCCTGCAAACACAGAGGAGTCAACGCTGGATCGCAGACCCGCAGCAGCACTGGAGAGGAGGCTGAAAAGGACAGGAAAGAAAAAGATCGGATTAAGAGACATCATTTAAGGTGAGTGCTGACACTAACATGGGGGGAGGGGAAAAAATTAGACTTTAATGTCACTTTAAGGTACTTGAATGCATTTTTAAGATTGTGACAGGGTACACGATTCTGTGTATGTCAGCGAGAGGTTGAAAAGGGCAGCTTTCCCTGGCTAGGAAAGGGTTAAGCCTGGCCAACAGGTAAACCTCCTCTCTCTCTATTAATTAGCCTGCACCTGATAGTGACTGGGAGGGAGTGAGAGCTCAGAGTGAGATCCAGGCTGCACTGGATGGACACAGACTGGAGAGTGTCTGCATATCTGGGGAATAAGGTCTGTCAGAATAATTGTTTGTATTGGACTGTGGTTTTTGTCCATTTATACTGGAAGCTGGAATAGCCGCTCCAGTAGGACGTAGTGAGGGACACTACTGTTTAGTTAGCCTCCTAAGGTGGAGTAGGCCTTTTTATTTGTGTTACTTTTTCGTTGGATGCAATAAAGCTGCATTTATTGCCATTACTGTTTAAAGACCAGTGACTTTCCTACAAGATTTAACTCCTGCGTTTAGTGTCACTTTAAGTCTTCCAAAAAAAAACTGTGTAAGTAAAGTGAACTACAACTCTGATAGACATGAACATATTTTGAACTGCTTTGAAAAAAAGTATTGTTTCACTTACCTTTGTAAGGTAAAGTTCTTCCCCTAAAAAACTTCTTACACCCAAAATTTCATTACACTCATGTTCTGAGTTAAATTGATATATAAGACTGTGCACATGATGAAACATCTTTACTATGTAGCTGCTTAAAACTTTCAGATCATAACCTGCAAATGTAAACAATATTACATAAATGCAAAATAAGACTTATGTTGTATAAGAAAATATAGAGCAGGAACAAGACAAATAAAAAAAAAAAATAGTTGTGTCTAGGGATGTCCCGATACCTCGGAATCAGGCCCGATACAGGGCATTTTGACAAGTACTTGTACTTGTCAAAATGCCCCGATACACAGCGCCGAAGCTTGTGCTATGGTTTGGTTTTTTTTTCTTACCTTGCCGAGCGTCGCATCACTGCTGCTCCGGTGGGCGGAGCTCCAGCTGGGGTCCTAATTTAGGTGGCCGGAGACTGCCAGATGACCCCGCTCGGAGCGCCGCCCACCGCAGCAGCAGTGATGCGACACTCGGTGAGGTAACTAAGAAAAACCACAGCGGCGAGTCGGCGCTGGTCCGGCGAGCGGAGCTCCAGATGAGGTTCTAATTTAGCTGGCAGGCACCTCTGAGCCAGCTAAATTAGAACCCCATCTGTAGCTCCTCCAACCGGACCAGCACTGACTCGTCGCTGCTCTCTCCAGTGTTCGAACACCGACACAGTGAGTGAGGACAGGGGGAGGGGGGGCACTATTAAGCAGAGTATATTTGTAAATGTATTGTCTGCACTGTATTAGCAGTATATACACTATATGTACTACATATATAGTACATATAGAGTACGCACTGCTAATACAGTGCAGACAATACATTTACAATTATACTCTGCTAACATGAATGGATTAGATGATCTGTATGTAGCCCTGTACTAGGGATCATTTAATCCATTCATGTTAGCAGAGGATAATTGTAAATGTATTGTTGCAGGCACTCTATATGTACATGTACTATATACTACATATAGAATGCACTGCAACAATAGATTTACAATTATCCCCTGCTAATATGAATGGGTTAAATGATCCGTAGTACACCTACATGTTTTGTACTATTATGTACTATGGATCATGATTTAACCCATTCATGTTAGCAGGGGATAATTGTAACTCTATTACTGCAGTGTACTGGATGTGTGTGCTGTATATGTATTATGGATCATGATTTAAACTATTCGTGTTAGCAGGGCAGAATTGCGAGCGCCTCCTACAAGCTGAGCACCGAGACGTGATGCAGCGATCCTGCCCAGCGCCGACTACAAGAGGTACCTCGTGAGGCAACAGGGATCGGAGTGAAACTGTGAGTGAGGGAAGCTGGGACGGGGCTGGCTGTAAATCTATTGCTATAGTGTACTGGACGTGTGTAATGTATATGTAGTACATATATACAGCACACACCTCCACTACACTCCAGCAATAGAGTTACAATTCTGCCCTGCTAACATGAATAGGTTAAATCATGATCCATAGTACATAACATGTAGTTGTACTATGGATCATTTAACGTCACCTGTCCCTTTAAGAAAAAGTATCGGTAATTGGTATCGGCAAGTACATGAGGGGATGTACTTGTACCTGGAAAAGTGGCATCGGGACATCCCTAGTTGTGTCAAATGCAACTGACACAACCCCAGCATCTGTGAATATATTACACTCTAGTTAGCAATTGTTGAGGTGATTCCAGTAATAAAAAATACATTAATATACTCATGCAGACATACATAAATCGTTTCCTATCCAACATGTTTCTCTCCCATATCAAAGCAAAGATTTTTGCCTAACTTCCATGTTTGACCCTTCTTTGTTCTTTACATTCAATCACTTCTTATCTTAATTCCTTATTTTTTTATCTGCTTTGGCATACAGTCATAGCACCAGCAATAAAATGACCCATTTAAATGTTTCAGCTCTGTCCATCTACTACCAAGTCTTATTTCTCTTCTCATCCATGAAGGTCTCTATATATATATATATATCCTATTTCAGATTGTCTATAAACTGGATTCCAATTCTGCTGAAAAAACCCTCACAAAAGATGCAGTGATCCTATGACTGCAAATTGCAAATTCCAAGACCACTCAAAATGCATTCTTCTGTTCTCAGTCTTTGGATGATACCACTGATGATCACCTAATGACATTCCCTCTCAGACACGCTTTCAACAGTCCAATATGAAACAGCAATAAAAAGAGAACTGTCATTGCTTGCTATAATCACTGCTTGCCATGGTCTTTGCATATGTAACCGGAGCAAAGGACAGTATATTTTTGAATAATCAAGTTTAGGTATCAATGCTACGTGAAACTACAGGAAGCTATATGATACCACCAAGCAGTTGTTCTTTTTGGGCTATAGTGGCTGCTATGATGTTTCATTTTCCTGAATGACAGACGATAGAGATAGCTCTAGCACAATAATATTAGCACAGCGACAGGTAGCTGAAGTGGCCATATGGCTAAAGGCCGCTGTTAATAAGAACTAAGCAGTAGCTCATCTATGTTATTTATAATGACATACAAGATCACCTTTTAATAAGGCACATATTTTATCATCATAAACATTTTGGAATAGTATAACTGACAGGATCCAACTGATGATGATAATACAAGATTGAAAGCTAGAGTATTGTGACTGACAGAACACCACTGAGAACAAGCTGAAGCATTCTGTTGTCCCGCTGATACCATCAGCTGTTGTTTGTGCATATGCAGAGTTTGATGTTGGGATCCAACAGAAAAAGCTAGCGGGAATTTGCTGCAAATGTTCGGGGGGGGGGGGGGGGCGCCCGTGGTGCAAA